CTGGGCGACAGAGTGAGACTCCAACTCAAAAAAATAAATAAATAAAAATAAAAAAATAAAAAGACCCTTATGTTGGGAAAAAAATTAAGTCCCAAGGGTTCCTCTGTGGCAAGTCACTTAACCCCTTTGGTTTTTACTGTCTGTTTTCAACTGTATCTAAAATTCTGGCCCTGCATGACAACGGATTTAATTTAGGACCCAAACCAATCACACACACAAAGTAAGTCCTACTTTACAGACGGAACTCCTGGCCTTCCCTCACCCTGCAAGTCCAGCAGCACAACCCCTACAGGCAGGGTCTGCAGGGGACCAGCATGACTGACCAGCAGAGGGTGGGGGCAACTCACAGAAGGAACCAGAATAAGAAGGGAGCAACTAGGGAGCCCCACAACTCACAAAGAAGTGGCTTCAGTAGTTATGCTGAGCACTTGATGCCCTGTGGCCCTCCGTCCCTTTCCTCGTGGGGTCCTTAGAAATCCCGGGAAGTGGCCAGATGCGGTGGCTCATGCTGTGATTACAGCACTTTGGGAGGCTGAGGTGAGAGGACTGCCTGAGCCCACGGGTTCGAGACCCGCCTAGGCAACTTGGCAAGACCTCATCTCTACAATAAATCAAAAAATTAGCCAGGCGTGGTGGTACATGCCTGTACTTTCAGCTACTTGGAAGGCTGAGATGGAAGAACCATCTGAGCACAGCAGGTCGAGGCTGCAGTGGTCATGAGACTCCAACTCAAAAAAGAAAGAAAGAAAACTCAGGCAGTGGGGCCATAAGGCCTACCCCAGGGATACCCTTGCAAGCCTTTCTGGAAGCCAGGTATGAGGTCTGGAAGCCTCCTGGTGGGGTGCTAAAGGGCTGATGATTGAGCACCGGCTGGTGTGTCAGCAGCTCCAGAGATGGCCCCACCAACACCGAGGACCGCACATGCCACAGCACCTCGACCGTGTGTAAGGCGGAGCTCTGACCCAGAGCCTGCAGCCGTTCATCCAGAAGCCAGCCAGGAGGCCGGCTGCTCCAAGTCAGACCTGTAGGACGCCTGGCTGCCAGCTCTGAGGACGGCCTGGGAAGCTCAACAATGGCTTCTACAACTGGCTAGGACCTGCCTAATAACTGACAACTTCACCTTAGGACCAACCACAGAAAGCCCCACTCAGCCCCAAACCATCTCACAGCAGTCCGGCTTCTCAGGGTCACCCCAGCTCCCATTAGGGCACTCCACCTGCTGGGTGAAAGGAGGAACCCCGAGAAACTCAAACTTAGTTGACATTTTGTCTCAGTATAGCCATTTTTGCTTATACTGACGTACTTTAAATGAGCACAGGTAAGACATAAACAGATAAAATTTCCAATATGCAGGTTTTCGGAAGCATTCAGACATTTTACTGCAGACTAAGCTGGCAGCCTATCCCAGCCCCTTGGCAAATCTCCATCAGATGCAAGACAAGGACAGCCCAGCCTTTCAATTCATGGTTTAGCATAATAATCTCTAAGAAACTTTCAGGCCCCTTAGCTGGCTGAAGCCATAGAAATGATAAGACCACCTTTTTGCTAGGGAGATTGTGGACTGACAATGCCTGACAAGTCTCTTGCAGAAAAAACCCCTCTCCTTGTCTCCTCCCATCCAGCCTACCACCGAGGCAGTAATCATGTGACTAACACACCTATCTGCCTGCTGGCCATCACCTGATGTCAGTACCTGAGCTTACCAGCCCCTCTGTGATGACATGGAACAGACCACCACTCCATCACCTTATCGATCTTCCCCCATCAAAGGGAAGGATTAAAAGGACTCATCCACAAGCACCATTGCCAGGTCATTGCAGACTTTGCCTTGCTAAGCTCTGGTGTGACCATGTGCTCTCTGAGCTGTGGCCAGGCCATGTTTCCTGGCTTTGACCCTCTGCCCTACCTTGGGGAGGTGAATCTCCTCTCTCTTTCTAATTTAGTTTTAAAATAAACTATATTTTCCAATCTAATGTCTGTGCAATTCTTTACATCTTTTTATTTATTTTATTTTTATTTTTTATTTTTGAGTTGGAGTCTTACTCTGTCGCCCAGACTGGAGTGCAGTGGCCACTCCCAGCCACCACAGCCTCAACCTGCTGGGCTCCGGCGATCCTTCCGCCTCAGCCTTCCGAGTAGCTGGAACTACAGGCACGCGCTACCACACCCGGCTAATTTCTGATTTATTGTAGAGATGAGGTCTCACCAAGTTGCCCAGGCGGGTCTCGAACCCGCGGGCTCAGGCAATCCACTCACTTCAGCATCCCAAAGGCGCGGGATTACAGGCTGAGTCACCGAGCCCGGCTCAATTCTTTACATCTTTCATGCGGCATCAGATCACACACTGGAAACCCACACCCCCAGTGGGCCTGATCTAACACTCTGGAAGCTCAGTTGGGAGTGTGACCCTAACACAGGGTTTCCACTGTGAAGCCCTCTCCCCCCGCAAGTCTCTGCCCAATACCCATAAGGGGCCAGTTCCCATGTATAGCAACACTGAATCCACAGCCCTGCCTGTCTCATGCGGGTGTCTTGTCTCCACAGTTCACTGTAGACAATCTAGAGTATCAAGCACCAGTAAGACTGCTCAGAGGCCAGCGAAAGCCAGCACCATGCGGGCTCCCTCCGGCCTCCTCAGCATGCGCCTCCCTGAAGGCTAGCACACAGTAAGTGCCCACATGCTCTGCTCATGCCACGCCTGTGCTACGCAAGAGCTTCCCATCACTCCCAGGAGCCCATGTCACGACACAGTGTACTACATGGTGTTGAACCTTCAGCCTCACGTGGTAGTCCCACTATTGGCTGTTTCCCATCACAGCTGAGATGGGTCCTAACTCCCTAACTCTGGGTGCTCTGCTCTTCCCGGTGTTTGTTTTTCTCAGCCTCGGTTCCTTGGAGTGATTCTCAAAAGGTACAGAGGATTGTTCCTCGCCTGGTCAGCTCCCTGGAATGCCCTGGCTACATTCCAGAGAGGCTGGGGGCTCCCTGATCTTCTGTGCTCATCTCTGCACATCTGCTGGGAATCATCTCTGCACATCTGCTGGGAACCCACCCCCTCACCAGGTCTCAGAGGCCCACCCCCCACCCCCCCCAGTGTTCTGCCCATAGGGTCTCAATCCTACTGTGGCCCATGTCCACTCTTCTGTAGGGCCAGGCACTGTATGGTTAGCCCAGACTACTCGTTCTCAGATGTAAACATGCTTTCAGGATTCAAAATAAACAGGCTGAGTGGATAGGATGAGGTATACTTTTTTTTTTTTCTTTTTGAGTCGGAATCTCACTCTGTTGCCCAGGCTGGAGTGCAGTGGCACACTCACAGCCTACACAGCCTCGACCTGCGGGGCTCAGGCGATCCTTCCGTCTCAGCCTTCCAAGTAGCTGGAACCACAGGCGCATGCCACGACACCTGGCTAATTTTTTGTAGAGATGAGGTCTCGTCATATTGCCCAGGCTGGTCTCGAACCCGTGGGCTCAGGCAATCCTCTCACCTCGGCCTCTGAATGGGATTATAGGCTTGAGCCACCGCGCCTGGCCCTGAGAGGATATGGTATACTCTGACAATGGAATTCAACTCAGCAACAGAAAACCCTGGCGACCTATGCCACAACACAGATGAATCGCAAACGTTACACTGAACAGAAGCAGCAAGACACGAGAAAAATGGACTGTAGGGGTCTATTTATCTGAACCTCTAGTACAGGTAGAGCAAAGGAAACCTAAGTTGTACAAGTGCAGGCCAGCCACGGGTGGTGGGAGACAAGAGGTAGCAAGAACCCCTCCACAACAAGGGCACACGGTCTACACAGCCACCTGGGCCACACAATAGCCAAGTCACTGAACTGTACAATTAATCCCTGTCCACTCCACTGTGTTCAATCACACTTGGATTATAAAGAAAAAGAAGCTGACAGATGGGGGAGGAAAGCACATAAAAGTCTAAAACCTCGTCAGACGCTGCCTCTATGGTGTCCCACCCAAGGTTCTGAAACCTATTCTGGTGCCATGGTGGCACACATGTTCAGAGTTACTTTAAGCCTCTTCTGTCCAATGTTCTCAAGTCTCAGTGGCTGTGAATTTTGTTACACCCAGTATTACTACATAAGGACTAAAGCTCATGGGCACTTTTCACAACTGTGTGGTCCCACAGAGCTGTCACCCATCACCTCCAATGGCAAGTCTGGGAGTAAAGGGCACAAGGCCAGGCCCACAAGAAGCCAGCCCGAGGGCTGCCCCATCCACACATTAGTGTTGGGGACAAGGTCAGCAGAGCATGGTTCCGAGGGGCAAGGAGGGATGCCGAGAACAGAGGCGAGGCACACGGGCTCTCCTGGGTACAGCTCCCATGGCCACCTTGTGACTCTGGCCTGAGATTCCTTAACCTTTCTGATACTGGGATGGATGACACATGGTCTTCCACACATCTAGGTCAGCTCCTACAATCCTGACTCCTTAGAGATTAGCCTGCAGGGGTACCCTCAGTCATCTTACACCACTGCCTGGGGCCTCTAGAACTAGCCTTTCTGGACAGAAGAAGAGAGCCAGAGGGACCGACATGGCGACAGGCAGGTAGAACGGCCGGCATGGCACCAGGGAATGCGACAAAGGCCAGCAGGAAACGAAGCAGTGCTGTGGCCGCTGAACTACAGCCACCCAAGGCTGACATGCTAAAGCTCAGGGACCCATCATACTATAACGCTGAGGGCAGCATCAATTCTCACCTGCAGGCCTAGCCAACCCAGAGGCGGGAAGAAATGCAGACTCCGCCAGGCTCGGTGACTCAGCCTGTAATCCTGCGCCTTTGGGAGGCTTAGGTGAGTCGATTGCCTGAGCCTGTGGGTTCGAGACCCGCCTGGGCAACTTGGCAAGACCTCATCTCTACAATAAATCAAAAAATCAGCCAGGCGTGTAGTGTGTGCCTGTAGTTCCAGCTACTTGGAAGGCTGAGGTGGAAGGATTGTCGGAACCCAGCAAGTCGAGGCTGCAGTGGCCAGGAGCAGCCACTGCACTCCAGTCTGGGTGACAGAGTGAGACTCCAACTCAAAAAAAAAAAAAAAAAGAAAATGCAGACTCCTAGATTCTGATCAGCAGGGCCAGGGTGGCTGGCAACAGCCTCAGCTCCCACCTGACCCATCCCTTCTGCAGCTGGACCTGCAGTCACTCCCAAGCACTCTTGGGTCTTGGGTTTTTAAGTCAAACCAACACTAACCATTTCAATTCCTATCCCACATCAGATTGGCTTGAAGACATTTCATCAAAGAAAAACAAAGAAAGAAAAGTTGCAAGGTCTCCAGCTGCAACTCAAAGTGATGGGCACCTGGGAAATCATCATTCCACGCTCCATTACAGTCTGCTGGAGATATTTCATCAACAATTACTAAACAGTTAACTTCAGATACTTTTGTTACTCTAAACAATGCACAAACTTCCTTTTCCCCCGGGAACACGTTTCAATGAAAGCTGAACTTCCCAGCCCCCTTTCCAAAATAAAACCTGCCACTCTGCCTAGAAAAACGCTGTGCCTGACTTTTTATACTGGACTTCTGCTCTAATTGTAAACCATGGTGGCACGTGGAAACAGAGGAAGGTTTACAGGACTCTAAACTTAATTTGTGAACAAGCCGGTTTTTTTTTTGTTTGTTCGGTTTTTGAGTTGGAGTCTCACTCTGTCGCCCAGACTGGAGTGCAGTGGCCGCTCCCGGCCACCGCAGCCTAGACCTGCTGGACTCTGGC